TCGTAGTCGTAGTCGTAGTCGTAGTCGTAGTCGTAGTCGTAGTCGTAGTCGTAGTCGTAGTCGTAGTAGTACTAGTACTAGTACTAGTACTAGTACTAGTACTAGTACTAGTACTAGTACTAGTACTAGTACTAACTACTACTACTACTACTACTACTACTACTACTAGTACTAGTACTAGTACTAGTACTACTACTACTACTCCTCCTCCTCCTCTTCCTGCTGCTGCTGCTGCTGCTGCTGCTTACTTCTACGAGTCAGTGCTTGCTATAGTTCTTACCTGCTGCCTTCGAGCTACTTCCTGCTGCCCATGGTCTACTTCTGCGAGCCACTCCTACTGCAACTGCCACTGCTGCTGTTGCTGCTGTTGTTGTTCCTGTTTACGGTGGATAGGATGCTGTTGCTGGCCTGTGGGTGTTGAGCACTTGAGCGAAAATTGAGTGCACGTTCCACAACCGATGTCAGTCGCCTAGTTCAAGGTACGACCTCGAGTTGGAGACAGGTACCCTCAGCCGTGGCGTGGTCTCCATCACCGGGAGCCCAGCTCAGCCAGCGGTCTGGAAGTGAAGAGTCTTGAAGGGCCCTTCTATGGAAATATCTTGCTAAATCCGGGAGGAGTGCGAAGTCAGCTGGCAGCACGCCAAGCGAAGACATCTCAAATCCCGATGTCGTGTCTCAGCTCAGCAGTCGGCTTTCTGATTTGCGTGTCTGGTGTGGAAGATGAAGATTTCCAAACGGAAAAGATGTAGACGCCGGGGCTCTAGGGTCATGTCGGCTTCAGGTTTGCGGTTTAAAGGCCTAGCTCTCCTGGACTCACGTTCGTTTCCATGCGGCTTGCGTTTCTGGCAGGTCTTCGACTGCTGCGACACCGATTCCTCCGGTGAGCTCGACATGCACGAGCTGAAGTTTGCCCTGAATGCCTTCGGCTTATTTCCAAGCCTCGACTACCTGAGGCCTGCGCTTGAATCGAATTCTCGGTCTCATGAAGCGCGCAGCCTCCGAATGGTAGAGCACTTCCCATAAGTACCCCTACTACCCAAATCGCGAGCTCTCCCGTCCCATGACACTACGATGAAGGGGGTACAGTACACCTGCACGACATAGTGACAGCAACGAAACCTCGCAATGATAGCCCTGACGTTACAGAGAGCTGACGGATACACAACACGGTGCCACGGCGCAAACATGGGCCGGCCGAAGCGAGTGAACAAGGAACGGGCTTCACCCGAGACGCGGCAATTTGCCAGAGGAGAGCTATAGAGCGAGAATCAGGCCACTCAATTTGTTTTGATAGTTCGAAGCCGAGGCTTTGACGATTGGTAAGCTCCCACAAAGAAAACTGAACTCTAAGTGCGCACAGGGACTGGATGGGACACCGCAGCAGCGTCGACCGGAAGGCATTCCACAATCTCCTGGACCAGAAGCCTGGAATTGGCAAGCAGGGTTGTCAATTAGAGTGGGACTGGGTTGCAGGCTTCAGATGATAGAAGACGAGCTTTGACCTGGACCTTCAGAGGAAGGCTTGGATTTCCGGCCATCCCATGTGCGCTTGGTAATGGCAACATCCCCAGACATACTGGCGTTAACCCTTGTGGCAATCAAGGAACAATGAGAGGAATGCCAGCAATAGGAGTAGGAACTCCTGAACAACAGAAGTCCGAGGAAGAAGCGCAGCGCACCGACGTCCATGAGGCGGCCACGGACTATACCCTACGCCCGCCGAGGCGGCCTGTTTGTCGGCTCTGCGGGCACTCGTCTCACAGCACAGAGTTTCGGCGTCAAGCAGCTAAGCGTTGCTTGCGCAGGCTTAGAGAGTTCTGGGACATTGGGAGTTGCAGGAAGAGGGAGCAAATTGGGAAGACAGCCGAAGGTAAAAACTACAATCAGTCGGCTCAGCATCAGCAGGAGTCCGTATGCAGCAGTTGGATGACCTCCAGCATGCCTTCATTTCCAGCGGCTGGCTGAAGTCGAAGTGCGACATGTTCAATGAAGAGAACATGCTCCTCTCCTGCATTGCAGTTCCGCACGGATCGGCCAGCTTTGCTATTTCCTGAATCATTTCTGTGCTGGCTGTGCTGTGCCACAGCAACATGGTAACATGCCTGTGTATGATCCAGCCAGACGTCACCAAGGACTGCGATTGCCAAGGGAACTGACTTCGCACTTCGGCTGCCTTTCCATTAGGGTGACTTGGCCCCTGCCACGTCGCGGGGCCAAGTCGACTTATTCGGACTCTAAATATCTCATATCCTGAAATTCACTGTGGTGGCTTGCGATGTCTTTTGTTGGCACGTGGCAAGTTTATTACACAATGTAGGCTGTCGGGAGTCCATCACCAGACTTTCCACATCGGAGTAGCGCGAACCAAGTATAACCAAGCCTTGTCCCTGAGGCCATGGACACGAACCTGTACGCACTGAATCGCTGGGTGATCATGCCAGGTGCGCACGAAAGTCTTTTCAATTCCCCTGCAACCTCGCAGCTTAAGGGATTGCGCAACGATTCGCTGTTTGCATGACGGCAGCCGTGGCTATACGGTTACATGAGACATGTAGGCCGGATTCAAACTCATTCTCGCTGCTTGTCTCTGTCTCTCTCTGCCTCTCTCTGTGTTACATGCCGTGTTGGAACCATCGAATACCGTTGACATCATGGACGATGATGTGTGAGCAGCGCATGTGATGGGCACGGGTGCACCATTGCAAGGGTTCACCTGGCACAGGCACGTCGCCGAGCGCAGTGGAGTCCTTGTCCCCAGACTTGCGCAGGCGGCAGTCTGGTGCCAAAAAGATTGGCAACTGCGTCTCGGTGGTCGGAATCTCATGGGCAATGCGAGCACTCAGAATAGTAGCGGCATGATTGTTTTACCTGAAGTCTGGGTGTACAGCATCGTGCTTGGAGAGCACATTCCACTCCCGCAACCTAACTCTCTGTCAGCCTTGGAGGTTTTGGGTGCTAAGTCAAGTAGCTCAGAGTCTAGTGTAGAGTGTAGACTGTTCCGCCCTAGAGCTTCGGTTAGGTGCCTGGTCAGATTTCTGGGCAGGTCAGCTGGCATGCCTGTGCCCACCCATGAGTCCTCCTATTCGGAGCTGATGAATTCTGTGGCTGGGCTTCGATTTCGGGGCGTGGGGCGGTGTAGGGTTTACGGAGCTTAGCCGGGATTTGGGCTGTTTAGAGTTCGTTGGAAGTTAAGCCCTGAATCCACTTCTGCTTTGGAGGCGTTGTCCACGGCCGAGGTTCAACAAGCTTAGCTGTTCATATTTCTCCAAAAATCGCTCCACGGAAGCATGGTCCAACGGTACGGGCCTCCCGCCCTCTCAACTCCGAGGCTGGACTTCCCGTTGACTACTTTGTCTCGCACTTCTGGGGCCATCCTTTCCAGGACTTTCTGAGTGGGCACCCGGATTCTGAACCCGGAAGGCTACCAGAAGTAGTATTGGCTGGGCTCACTGCGGTGTCTAAGACTGCATTGCTTATCCGTGTGGTTCGTTGTAGAGCTGCTGCCTGTCTCTTCCTTCGTTTGCTTCTCTGTCCAGGACGCACTATCTGAGCCGGAACAAGACTGTAAATAGGCGCTTCTGCTAGACTACATGGTCCTGTTGTGGATTTCGCGCTGTTACCCCGAACCTCAGACCTCGGCGCCGCGACCCCCCGTCGCGAATGTTCCGAGCAAAATTCCGACCATGCTTGCAGAGGTGCCAATGGTTCGTGGCAACTCGCACCCAACCGGACCAGTGAAAGACATGAAAAGCTGTTAACACCAAGCTCGCGCATGCCCAATGCCCGCAGGACACCTGGTCATCTCTGAGCCTTTGGTCGTCGCATCCGGGCCAGACTTCGCCACCAGCGTAGGGACGTGCACACACTCACGGAGCTTGCATATCTTATTTTAGAGCCTGCTGTGATGCCACAGGTCCGCTTTCTGTAGCAGTTTATCAGTGCCGCTCTCGCACCCGGAACTGATGAACCCTGATCGCTGAGAGATGGACTGGCGGCCTAAGGCAAGTCCACTGGCAAATCGGGCCGCTTGGTCGAAACCAGGGCCTGGGGGGGCCCCGCAAACACCTCATGATGATCACTCACCTGCGGCTTCAGGTGTAGGTTGAAGTTTCAGGGTAGTTAGCACTGCTCGTGCCAAGAACTAGTGAAGGGACAGAGGAATTTCGCTTACTGAAGTGTTTAGTTCCGCTGCCACCAGAGGCAGCTGTTCACAGCTTGCGACAGAACGTATGGACAAGCATTGACATGAATGCTTTGACAACTGTCCACCACTGCTTCTGTGCCATCCGAGGAAGGAGCCTGAAAACATGGCTGTGGTCTCAGACGGCTGAGGAGCAGCTGAAGTTGAGGGCTCCGGATTTTGTGCTGGTTGACATGCTGGCCCTCGTCGTCGAATACGGATCGGTCTTGCACGATTTACGAAGGTGGTCCTTCTTCCAGTGCTTGCTTTCTGCCTTGTTTGTTCATTGGCACGCGCTGCCTATTTGGCGGTGCAAGACTGTGGTCGTTGGAACAAGTCGGCCACGAAGACAACTCGGACCAAGGTTACTCAGAGCACCCGAGGTGTAAACAAAGATGCATCATTAAAGGGAACCTAATCTTAAAGGCTTCGCCTCTTCCGCCTCGGCCCGGCTGTACTTGAAGCAGGTGCATTGTTTTGGAAGGCACGGGTAGGTCGCACAGGCGAGGTCTTGAGTGAATGAGCGCATTTGCTTCAAAATGTTTTTGTTGTAAGTATTCGTTGTAAGTATTCGTTTACATGCTGAGGCTCTGAGCAATAAATCCCACGCGAAAGGTTGCACATTACCTGCATTATCCCATAGACGCTACTGAAATAGTCGTATCACACTTATCACTGGTCTCGTATACAACCTCACATATGTTGGACGGGGAATCAAGCTTTGCAACAAAGTACAAGACACAGCTTTGGCATCAGCTTCACGAATGATGTAAGCTAGCCGGTCAGGCCTCGATGCAAACAAAAGACGAGGGAAGCGGGAGGGGGGGGGGCGGGCCCGGGCAGAGCGCCAGCAGAATGTCTGCACGCCAATCCCAAATCAAATTTTTAGGGGAGCTTGGGAAGCAGGGAAGTGTGGGAGCCTCTGACCGCTTCGGTCGGGACCGAGGTGCATATAGAAAACTACCCTTATAGAAACCCCTGCAGGAACCCGGAAAGGGGACGCTAGTTTAGAGAACTAGCCATGTAAATCGAGGTCTACTGGGTGTGCCTGCTGGCATTGAACCAACATCAGCCAGGCCCGGAGTCATGCTTCGCTGGCGGGCCGAGTGTTTTAGGCTTTGGCGCTTTCTAGGGTTTAGGGTTTCGGGTTTTGAGGGGTGTCTCATCCGGTGTTTTGGCCGTCGAAACTTCCACCCCGTTCTAACCAGCATACCATTCGGAGTATGTCTTGGCGAGATGTCGGAACGATGCGCAGCAAGTGGGCGGAGTCGGCGTGCGATGATTGTACTGCCGGCCAGTCTTCCAGAAGCCTTCGGTCTGATGCCGAACTCGGAGTGCTGCGCAAATATTAGCCAGCCCTCTCCGCGTCGCCTTGAACAGTTCATGTTTGCCCGGACGCTTACTTCGGAGCAGCTATCACAAACAGCAATTTCACTCCAATGACTAATCAGTATAGAACACCGCCTTGAAGGCCAACTAAGGCCAGTGATGAAGCATGCGGGACTGAAGACAATGCTGAACTCCGGAACTCGATCTGACAAGCACACCAGAAGGCTTCAATCGAAGAAGACTACATCTCCGGATCCGAGCTGAAAATGCCTCCGGCACCACATGGCTCGCACGTTGTTCTTCCGTCAACCAAATCATGGCGCATGCCAGGATTTAGAGTATCAGCTCAGCTCCACATACTGTAATGATCACTGTAATGTGTTCTCATATATAGTTTACCATAACTTTACTGATAATGGTATAGCACAACTCAACACAATGCAGTACGGTGTGTGTGTGTATATATATATCTATTATAAATAACGTCACATATTTCCATATATGTACTGGGAGTTCGGGCTGTCGAGTCGCCTCTTGCACCGTTGGCTCCGTCGGTCCAAAGGTCCGCTGGGTTTATGGGACTGACTTAGAATACCTAGAAGTGCGTCGTTTTGAAGGCGAAGAGGTTGGTGGCTCTCCGGAGGACGGGGCGACAACCGAGGGAAGAGTGCCGGTGTAAGCCAGTGTACGGGAGATGCTGTTTACAAAGCTGGCTTATTATGTTGAGCCCTGACCTGGCGCCTTCGCTCAAGAGTGCCCGAAGATACGCCGAAGAGTTCAATGAATTCCCTCGGCCTAGCCATGATGTTAACCCTCGTGTTTTTCGCATCAGCTTGGCTGGCCGTCAGTGTCGATAACACAGCCTGTGCTGCCGACGATTGCTCCGCCAGGGACGACTCCGCCCTTCTGCAACACAGGGGACGAGTCGCGGATCGGATGTCGGGGAAAGGCTTGGCACTCGAGGGTGGGGGATTCAGGGCACATGCGGCGCACACCGGCGTCTTGACGGCGCTTCTGAATGTCACAAAGGCAACGTCGAAGGGTGCTGGACCGGATCTGAGAGAGCTCATGAGGAACGTGAAGGTCATCTCGTCAATCAGCGGGGGCTCCTGGTGGTTGTCCCAGCTGGCCTACTCCCAAGCCTTTCTCACTCTGATTGAGACCATGGCAGTTGATCCAAAAGCAGCCGGGCTCCTGTACCAGGAGCAGTGGATCAGCCCTTTTCTCCTTGCCATCCTGGAGTCGGATCTCATGCCAGTCCCAGTCCCCACACAAGATCTGGGTGGTGCGTCTTCCGATAATTTCAATCTCAGGGCAGTCCTGGAGAGCCAAACGCCAATGCTAGAGAAGCGGAAGAGAAAGCGCAAGATGAAGGAAGCCAAGTACGTGAACAATGACAGAGGCGTTGCTGACTCGTTTGGGATGAACTTCATCGAGTTGTTGATTGAGGTTTTCTTCCTGGGAAGGGCCGGTTCAAGCTGGCAGCGGGTTGTGGCAGAACTCTTGCACAGCACCAGCCTGGGTGACATGACGGGCTCCGAGACCCTGGGATCGCCGGTGAACGAGTGGGCAACGGGCAAGTGGTGGCTGGCCGGGACGAGCATCAGCACCCCAGGGGGTAAAGGCCCGGGGACGTGCCAGTGGTTCAAGTTCCAAGGGGCCTGCGCCTTGCAGCTCATTGGCTCACCAGGACAGACCCTCATTTATGAGAACGGCACTGACGTGGGCAGTGCCTGGATGTATTCCGCAATTCGGTGGTGGCAGAGTACTGCTGCCTGGACACCGGCTCGTTTCAGCACCGTGCTGGGTGCGGGTGCTGGGCAACCTGCACCCATGAAGTTCTGCGAAAATGAGTGTGAGAACCTGCAGCTCCACTACCAGGCTATTGGTGAGACAGCTGTTGCCGAAAAAGAAGGCAAGTACGATTTCTTCGCCACTAGTAACACATCCCTCTTCTCGGCAGTAAGTGGGTCCTCTGCGTTTGCGGGTTTCACTGTAATTCTTGATAGGATCCTGCCTTCCATTATCACTGCGATTATGGCTGCGGTGAAGAAGCTGAAAGTGGTGCTTCCTTCAGGATTGGCAGAGAAAATACAGCAGGGCGTCTCCAATATTTTGCATGCGAAGCTGGCGGTTTGGTCCCAGTCAGCCAAGAACGGTGTGCTAGCCTTCCAAGAGGCGTCTGCCACGTTGAGGGAAATCACGAAGTCACAGGGCCATCCGCCAGACCTTTCCTTAGACTCCGTGGCAGAGCAGGGGCTCATGGCACTCGTGGATGGAGGCATGACGGACAACACTGGAATTGGCCACGCACTCGCTTCTGGCCAAAACGAGATCATCTGCTTCGAGCCGGACCTGGGTAATGTCTGGCAGCTGATGGGTGGCATGAAAGATTACGTTGACCTTTTTATGCTTCCCGATGTTATTAACCCTTGCCCCATGTGCTTCGCGGCTTTTCAACTGTTCAAGGAGGACTATAAGGAAGTTCAAAGCCGATGGCAAAGTGTCTCGACGCAGCTTTGGATCGATCCCGCACTCGTGCACAATCTGAACTCCATCAGCGTTGGCACACTAACCTTGACCACACAAAAGAACGATTACTTTGGTGTGCCGGATGGTCGCGGCGTGGTGCTCCACATCGTAAGCGTCAACACCTCCATCGGAATAGGAGGTTACAATTACTACGACTATCCGAAGCTGGTGCAGGACATCGTGACCGTCTTGGTCAGCCCAAGCAACAAGAAGGCAACAGGCACGATGTTAGACTGGTTTCTCTGAGTTTAATTGAATATCAGAGGGCTGCGACTTCCTGTAAAGAGAAACCTCACCGGCCCTACACCGAGGCAAATTCAGCGAAGTCCCTCCCTCCAAGGGCTTGTGTAAGAGTCATAGTAGAGGTAAAATTGCCTTTGCAAGTGTGCTTACTGTCACACAGGAGTGATGAACAACACCGCCCCTGGCTAGCATCTGCCTCTGTGTTTGAGGAATGCTGTGTCAACCGTCGGATCTAGCACGCTCAAAAATGTCGGAGCAGTCCAGGCCACCAAGCCCTGCGATCTTAAACCTTTGGCATTGCAGAGAGTGAGCGTCGAGATCGTCAGGAGGGCCCTTTCAATGCCGCGTTGGTGCAAAGTGCATGTGGGGCGGCCTCCTGGCAGAAAGCTAGCATGGAGCCTGCCGAGTCAGGGGCAACATCCGCGGACTGCATCCAAGCCGAGCGTACACGAGGGCCATGCCGGCTCTGGCTTTTAAATGACCAGTTCAGATATAGCAGATGCGAAGTAGTCCAGAAGCCTGTCCGAGGTCATGGTTGTGGACGAAGATGTTTCCCCGTTCTCGAGGAATGGATTTGTTGTAGCGGTGATGTCGCGTGGGATAGACTTGCAGCCACCAACCTCGTAAACCGAGTGTGCTTCGTCCTTGCTTCCGACTCCCAAAGGCGTGCGCTGCCATCAGCTGCTCTAGTACTATGATTTTATGAGACCCAAGAATCTAGAGATCTTGGACGACTAGACTAGAAGTGTACAGGCACACACACACACCACACACACACACACACACACCACCCACCCACACACACACACACACACCCACACACCACACACACACACACACGCACGCAGACAAACGGGTTGCTGCTAGGGCTGGTTTGTGATAGCCATCTCCGCCACCAGCAGCACGACCCCGGCAACAAATCTCGAACTCCAGAACCACAAAAACTACCAGCTGCTCACAGCCACATCCAAACCACCCCTGCCACTGCCACCTGTGATATAGCAAGCACAAATGACGGCTGATATCCTTCCAATGATGGTGTCAGTGCCTGGCCCCACTTGCCCTGCAGGATCTGGTGTCTCTTCGAAGTGAAGCGCCTCACAGATCTGAAGAAGGACCCGTATGTGTTTGGGCGTCGTGGTGCTGCATGGCGATCCGTGAGAATACAGCCATGTAAGGGCACTTACGACGGCTTGAGTAGAACGCACTTAACGAATTCAGCTTCAAATTGCATAGTAACGCCGTACTGCGTCGTTGAAGGGCATGTCGAAGCCCTCATAGTTCGTCAGGTGCTGGATGCTGCGCTGCGCATGTCAAGAGTTCTTACCACCGGTTGCGCTTGCAGCGCCTGGGTAGAGACACTCTCTTTGGATCGAGTGCAGGATTTTCACTTGATATCTTCCTGTGGTGCCATGGGCTCCAACCTACAGATGGTCGCTGAGGACGAGAAGAGGCCGGTACACTTAGCCCAGAAATTCTGCGAAGCTTCTCAAGCCAAAGGAGCCTAAAAGTTCACACCTCATACGCAACGCATCCAAGCTCCGCGAAGGCGAGGTGGTCGAGTGTGTATAGGGGATAAGCAGGTTAGTTAGTTGTGGATGCTGCTTTGGCAGTAGTAGTAGCCCTCGTAGTCGTCGTAGGAGCAATGGTCACCCATCCGACACGTCGTGTTCGTGGCCGTTGTGAGCAGCCCGCCATTAGTATGGAGCCCTCACTTACTGTTCTTAGTAAGTAGTGCTCATACTCTGTACTGTTCCCTTGTAGTCCCGGCCCGCCGTAGTTGCAGCACAACATACCCCAAATCCTCCTTCTAACTATTACTACTAGGGCCCCTATACAGTAAAGTGTACCAGTGTACCATTCTGGGCTGTTCAAACCTGTTCAAGCAATGACAGCTGTTGAAGGAAGCACAAAAGCCACCAGAGAGCGAGCCCGAAGCCTAAAATGACTTAACATACTCGCCGATGGTCAAGCATTGTTTAATAACTCATTAGCCACAAGTGCTTAGCTGCATGTCCTTTGTCGTGGGTACATGCCCAAAGTCGGCTGGTGAATAAGTTCAGCAGGTCAAAGAGCAAGACATGTTGATTCTTTTGTGCGGAGGCAGGCGCTTTTGGACTTCACCCGCCGTGTGGCTGATGCGCTGTCGCAAGTGTCGGCTTTCAAGGCGGTTTCGGATTTCACATTTCACGGGCGACTCAGAGTGTGAGTTCGAGGCGTGTACTTCCAGTGCTTTATCTCAAACGCACTGAATGACACGTTCGCAGCTTATATGCCACGTAGAGATACGTAGAGTGCGTCAGGACAAAGCAGCCTCACGAAGCGCCCAGGAAGCGCCATGCCTTTGCAAGTCCATACCTGGGTCTTGCAGCAACGAAAGACTTGGACGAGCATGCAGCATTTCCTGTCCTGGCGTTCAGAGTCGGGGTGCACTATGCCTGAGTTCTTCTCCGTCAGAAATCTTCCATTGATCCAAATCCAAATGCAGAGACACGAACCCGATATTTAAGGCATATAAACCGAGATTCACTTCCCAGCGCGAATGCAATCGCGCAGGCCAGATCCAGTAGCGAGGAGGACAAGCTGCTTGGCATGGAATCTCACGTCAGTCCACTTCTGGCTTCTATAGTGGATTTTGAATTCAGGGTTTTTCTATGGGAAGGGTTGAGTTAAGCTTCTGGAGGATGATTCGGCAGACCCCAGGCAACAATGCAGCTCCCAACTGGTTCACTACTGCACTCGGACGTAAGGTCGTCGCGTGTGGCAGTTGTGCCAACATCTAGTTTTGCACTCCCTTCCCCCATATGCTTAGAGCAGATGCTTAAAGCATGCAGGGTAGAAATTCCTCCGCTGGCCAGCCCGCCTGAAGTTCACTTTCTTGTGCTCGGAGTCCTCCGCTGAAATACATTCTGCGTTGTGGTATGTATGTTCAACTTTGACTTTAACTTAGTGATTTAGTGGCTTTGCAACTGGTTGTCATGCAGTTTTCGCCACGATCGCACCTGGAAGATAAGTACCAGAAGCAGTCAGAATGATTACGAAGCTTGTTTTTGGCGAATCTGGCTCCGAGCACGAGCAGGTTTGCGATTTGGCACCGAGTGGCCGATCCGCATATGCGCAGAATGCCTTTGGCCATTGCCCGGGCGGCTAGGTTGCGGTTCAGCGGGATGTGCCAACCGGGGTGTACCAGACCTTGTTGTGTAGGTTCAGGATAGCCAGGGGATAGCGGATAGCAGCTACGTCAAGACTAGAGATTCACGGCGATGCACGCGCGACCAACCTGTTTCAGCCTGTGCCAAGATTCCTCAATATCAGCGCGCTCTCGGCAATGGTAGCTGTTCCCCGAAACATGGCCGTCGGGCTTGGGCTAAGCGCTTGGGATTCAGTGCCAGAAAGCTTGACCGCCCGTTCGAAAAGCACATAGGCATGAACTTGCGATCTCAGAGCACCATGGTGCACGGTACTTTGTTCATGTGAACCTAAGCTGCAAGTCTTCCTGTCATGCAGGAGCGGAAGCTCTTCACCCCCAATACCTTCAAGCGCTTTGCTCCTCAGTTCGAAACGGAGTGTTATTTCGCGTTCATCTTTGAAAGCTGTGAGTGGTACTCTTCTTCGAATTTCCTTTGATGCGATGGTTTAGTCTGAGACTTTCGGTGGGCTGCGGGATACTGAAGAAGCACAGCTCAGCCGGGGGCATCCCAAGCGACCCTCCCTTCCCTGTATCAGACACAGGACGATCACCTATTCAACTGCGTCTTTGTGGACTGGATGAAGCAAGGTGGCTTCGGAAGAAGCCTGAACCGCGAATCCACTGCCCAAAGGACACGACCATTCGAAGCCTGCTGGCTGCACCTCTCTTCCAAACGAGTCTTCAGGAGGAGGCGTGGGGGTTCTGCATGTTTCCGGCTGCATGTCCTGAGGCCCGGATTCTTACCAAAGTTCTGAGACAGCTGATCGGAGTGTCAGTGCGAGATACTGTGAGAGAAGATGATGCAGATGTCCTGGAGCGATAAACTGAGATCGAGAGCACAGGTTCGCATTGCTTGTTGGCGTAGCCATTGTTGTGGCAACATGAGTACTTTCTGCCTCTGAATTTCTATGCTGTCTCAATCTTTGCATTATGGGTGCTTGCACCCCTTGTTTACTAGTGTTGGTACGAAGGCCTGCACTGAAATGGCTACAGTAAGCTCAGTCTGTGCAGTGTTATCTTGCGTTGAGCCGTTCCCAACATAGGCATAGTGGTCAAGGTGAAGGAGTGATGTTCGGACAGAGGATGGATGGAGCGATTTTGTTGATCATGAGAGGACTAGGCGTGGCTGGCACATCTGCCTGGATGCATACTTAAGCCCTTAAACCCTAAACCCCTTGAGAGCCTTGCCTGCTGCGTGCGAGTGTGAGTGTCGAAACCCCTTAACCCAAAAGCCTTGCCTTGGTGCCAGGATGCGGCCAGTGCGCTCCGTTGCTCAGTGAAAAGAGTTCGGATGACAAAAAGGGGGTTTAGGGTTTGAGTTTTTGCGGGTGGGTTGCAGGTCACTTGTTCTCATAAGTGGGAGCCATTCAGATTTGGTGTGGTTACGCGGTTCGATGCTCAGGGTTCAT